TTCAGTCCGTTTCATACCCTAAAATTTGAAAAGCATCGGCTTAGGGTATTCAGCTATCTAAATAATACATCCTTCCCCAACTTTTAGGCACATTTACCCTTATTGTAATTTCAGAGACTAAACTCTGTTCCATACAAGTGGTTTCTGAATCTGTCTACACTAGGTATTTTGCATTTTCTCTGGAAAACCGGTTTTTTATAAAAGATCTGCTAATTTTCAGACTGTGGAGTGACTTTTTGAAGTCATGATATCAGAATCAAGTCTATGCCATATAAGATTCAGAGGTAACTTGCAGAAAAGAACTTAAAACAGAGCAAAAGCAAAAATAGTGCTTTGAATTTTAATTATCCTTGCTTTTCTTTCTCCGAAAACTTGGGTCCCTGTTGGGCATTGTACATCTAGAGAAAGCAAAGAGCATTAAGTGAATTAATGTCCTCGATGTGCCTATTTCCTTTTCCTCTACTTAATTCCAGCAGTCCTTACATCCAAATTCTCTCACTTGTGTTACCCGCGTCTCTGTTATCACTGCTCCTCATGAGTACAACTTGGAGTTCTGCTGTCTCTTAGTGATGTCATTTCAGATTATTCACACTTCCCTTCTATCTGAATTATTAGATGAGTTTAGGGAATACACACACACACACACGCACGCACGCTATCAATAAAAGCTTTTCTCCTTGGAGCTCAGATGCCAAGTCTGAGCAGTTGAGTCATGTTCAGCTTCACGATTTCACTGTTCATTGTTGGAGTAATTTCTGTGCTATGATATGTCCATAGATTCTAATTGAAGTGTTGGGCTTAATAGTTTAAGAAATGTTTCATATTTGACCACTCGCGCTGATGAAAATATGGCTTCCTGTGTCTTCAAGAAAAAAATCCGTCTTGAGACATACTGTTTGTTCTTTGGGCAATTTTGCGGGGCAGGAGCCCCAGTGAATCAGAACTTGAAGTTTAACATCACAGTAGTTTAACCTCCTCGTTGGAAAGATGCGGAAATTGAGGGTTAGATGGTTTAATTGATCTGGCCATGGTTGCATGGCCTGTGGGAGTCAGCTGAGAGGAGAACTTGGTGGTACTGCCTCACCGTATTAAATGACACGATGGGGAGCGTGCTGACCACCAGCCCTGCAACTGGATGCACTTTGTTTAAAAACACAAGCGAGGATGCAGCCAAGGCCCCCGCTTAACCTGCCAGTCTCCAACTCTTGCTGTGGGAAACATCCACACACTGAAACCTGAGGACATTTTGAACAAGCATGTGACGCTGGAGGTTTCTATCTCTGGTAGTGCTAACAATAGACTGAAATTGGCCCTGAAATATCCCACGATGAATTGGTGACCTCCCCCAAGAAGTGCCTCTGGAGCACTTTGCTCTCTTGTGAGCCACTCCTTCCATTTTCTGTTGCCTTGAAGTCAAGGCATAGAAAAACCAGGCAGGATGCCTCAATTTGGGCCAAATGACCTGTGTAATAGCTGTAGTTACAATTGATTCCAAAGGACACACACTCTTTGCTTCTTTCATCTCTACGTTATGAGGCAAATAGAAGGAAGAATGAATATTTGGGGTAGGGAGTGAAAAAAATCACCAATTGTTTCTCTGGATAGGCACCAGCATAGATGTATGAGCCCTTAACCCTGCGGCACATTATAGCGCTTTTGACATGTAATACAACCAAGATCAGATATCATAATTCTAAGAGCATCATTAGAGGATGTACCATTGGGGGTCCTTAGCATTAATCACAGGTGATTATGAGAGCCTTGCCATGTTGTGAGGATCTCTCATGCATACAGACTCACAAACCTTCCCCAGCTAAATGATGGAAAGGGCTCAGTCATAAAATAATGAGAGTAAACTGCTGTTTCAGGACAGCTGTTCACTGTTGTTGAAGATGAGTTTAAAAACAGGAGAGAGAGAGAGAGAGTGGGTGGAGGTTTTGTTTTGTTTCGATTTAAGTGACATGTTTCATGTTTTAGCATTGATTTTAATCCAGATTATATTTGAAAGAAAAGGAGATAATTCGATTTCGCATATGATCAGGTAAGTGGCTGATCAAGTTCCAGCTTCAGAATTTGACATAGCAAAGACTGTGGCCAGAGGTGGTTTCCAATGTACACAAGCGAGCAGCAGGCACATCTCTGGACTCGCGTGCGTCATGTTCTGCTGCCTCCGCTGGTCTAGGGCCTGGGAGAGGCAGGATGGAAGCCCTCTGTGGTGTGGGGCCAGGGTTGGCAATCTGCAGCCCCTCCATGCTGGAGGTGATCAAGGCTGCCAGAGGGGGAGCTGGGAGGGGAGGGAAGACGCTGAACGCTCCTCAAATCTGTTCCTTGAAATCCATAAAGCATGGGTCCCACGTGTTCTTTAAGAGAGCTGGATCAAGAATCCTTTGTTAAAGTTAGTTGTGGGTAATTTAATGACGAGGAGGATGGAATTCGTCTCGCTGACCATTCATCAGATATCCCTTTCTGCCTGATTGGATTGCAGGCTGCTATTCCAGTGTCGGGGCATGGCAACCAACCCCATAGTATCTATGTTTTTCAGCTCAGAACTTTTGTTAAAAAATGGCCCCATATGGTTTTTATTTAATTATACTAAAACATTTAAAAATATTGTTTGTGTTTTAAAAAGTATGAAAAGCCGGATGAGCCATTTATAGGCTTTTGCAAATATATATGTCCTCTTAGACATGAGAAATAGTTATTTGCTAAACGTATGTGAGGGGAAACATCCAAAGACTTTAGTTTGCCTCAACGTTTTATAACGCAGAATTTTAAAAGTGTCCCCAGGTGGCTCTTCTACCTTTCTACTTCAGTGCATCCTTCAGTTATGAGTGGATATAGCACTCTCCCCAGAAATTTGCCATTTGTCACATACGATGTTAACTCCCCGCCCAAATGCATCACTCATGTTTTCTCTGTTTGTAGATTTTTCACCCAAGCAAGATCCAGGGTTGTAATCTTTTTATTTGTAGATTTTTTTTTCAACCTCTTCTGGCTTGTCCCGGCAGGTGCCATTGGTCATTAGCCACAAGTCAGCAAGTTCTGGCTCTACATTAAGCTCATTTTTTTCTCTGAAGTGAAATCCTGAGTCTCAGGTCAGCCCAATAGTACTTAGTTAAAATCTTCAAGTGGCAAGTAGAAATTCCCCGTTTCACACCAATGACCACCAGCTTTGGTTTCCACATTTGCCAAACAACCTCTTTTTCATGGCTCTGGATGACTCGGGGTCTGTAATTTTCAGTAGGTCTGCGGTCATGTGACCATAGCATGTTTCAGAGGAAGCCAGGCCTGAGGACAGCAGTTTTGCGGAAGAAGTCAGGGCACCTTTAATTTAGGACGTAATTGCCATATTTAGCAATAAAAATACAGGACACCCAATTAAATTTGAATTTCAGAGAAACAACTAGTAACTTTTTAGAATAAGTATATCCCATGCAATGTTTGGGATATACTTTTAGTAAAATATTATTTGTCATGTATCTGAAATTCAAATTTAGCTGGGCATCCTGTATTTTAGCTGGTAACTCCATATTAGTACAAAGGAGTGAGGCCATTTTCTGTGGCCACAGGAATCAGAATATGGGCCAGCCCTAAGACTCCTGTGCCAGGAGGTAGTGTCAAGAGAATAATCAGTTCCGGTTACCTTGAACCGCTAAGGGAAAATCTAATCCCTTGCCCTAGATCAGGGCCTAAGAGACCAGACTCTGCAACAAGTAGAAAGCAAGGTTAGAAAACCAGATCAGGATCGGGTGACCACATTCAACAGTTTTCTGTGTGAAGATGTTCTCTATTACCCTTGCGTGTCTTTCTTCCCTTAGTCTCCCTAAATTGCCCATAAAGATGGATGTGGTTTGCTATCTAGTGATGCTATAGGAAGTTGAGCATTAATGAAGAAAAGATGGCTATCTGTCCTGGCTCAGGCCCCTCTGGGCGCTTAATGCTAACCAGCTTCTCTCCTGGTTAGTATTAAGATGGTGTCCCAGGCTCTCTTATGCAGCCGATACTTAATGCACATAGCGGGCTTCTTAAACCCATTAAGGAAATAGGCACGGACCCACAAATCTGCCACCAAGGGTCCTGACTCCTTGCTTCATATTGCCCTTCTGCTGGGGGTAGGTGGATACTACTGTGGAGCAAGGGGCGCCGGGCTAGAAATCAGGAGACCAGGGGCATGTGGGCGCTTGGTTTCCCAGTCTGTTTCTCAATTTGCTTGCCCTCCAATTAGAGTAATAATCATCCTACCCCTTTCTATGTAAAGGGGTGGATATAATGACCTGACAGCCTAATGAATGTGCAAGTCTCCTGAAATGGACAGGATACCAGATAAATACAAGAGAACGCTGTTTTTCTTTGCTTGTTTCTGCTGCCTCTGCTTGTTGGTGGGATGGCCAGGTGTCCTGGTTTGCCCAGGACAGTCCAGATTTATGCCTCTTGTCCCAGCATAATCATTAATAGCACCCCTTTCACTTGCAAACAAGGAAGATGCATTGTGATGTCACTTTAGTTATGATAAACATGTTTGTGAATACCAACCTAGGATATACTTGACAGCAGAAACAGAATACTTGAAATTAGGACTTAGTAATTTTGATTTGTCAGAGGTCACACAATTGCAAAGTGGCCACGGTGAGTGCCCGGTCTTCCATCGCCAAGTGCAGGACTCTGTTGCTACACCCAGTCCCACTTTAACTCAGAAAGCTGATAATGAGTTTCCAGGTAGAAAATGAGGTGAGGAGATCCTTTTCTTTCCTTCCCATAATCCCATAGGATAGGATTTCTCAACCTCAGCACCCTGACGTTTTGGGTAGGATATTTCTTTGTTGTGGGGACCATCCCACGCACTGGAGAATGTTTAGCAGCATCTCTGGCCTCTACCCACTAGATGCCAGGAAGACCCCTGCCAGCCCCCATTGTGACAACCAAACACGTCTCCAGACATTGCTAAATCTCCCCCAGGTGCAAAATCATGCCCCTTTGAGAATCACTATTGGAGAAACAGATTAAGATTCCTAGGAGAAAAGTTTTATTTTGTCCACTTTGTAGTGGTCATAATTGGACTTGTGGAAGTCACCAATTTTGTGGTTACTGCTCCAAACTGTAGATTTAATAACAACAATAACAATCACTGTTAATATTTTTAGGGTCCTTTATGTTTACCGAGAACATTCTGTGCTTTAGGCCAAGGTTGCCTGGTAAGCCTTGGGAGGAGGGAGGAGATCTGCCATAGCCACATGTGAGTCACGCCTCCTGTGTGCCAGGTAGACTCCCCGGACTTGGAGAGTCGAATAGATGTTCACGAGTGGGGCAGCTTCCTGCTGTCTGACAGTTGGACAGGTCCTGAGGCAGTGATGTCGTATATCACAGTTTCAGAGGGATCTCAGCTGGGTCTTTATGAAGGCAAAAAGGGTTAATTGGTAGTGAGTGACACACATCTTGTAATGAGAACACTGCACAGTTTGAGACCCATCCTTATCTATAAAGGCAAGAAACGGATGCTGCTCCTTAATGGAGTAATTCACACACTGTGGGAACTTCTCTGAGCCCCACACCTTCTGAACAAGGATGTCTGCCTCTTGCTTCCAAGCAATATCAATATTAAATATTGAGTCTGAATATTTGTTCATTCTCTTGCAGAAAGTACAGGCTTTAAGTCTGGGATCTTTATCAACCCATATCTAGCATACTCTGCTGACGCTGTGCTGGGTGCCGTAACAGGGCCTCTCTGAGTGTGCTGTGTCCTCATTCTCCCATGAGATCAGTGACCTCCATTTTAAAATATGTTTGTTGAAAAAAATAACCTAACTTCTCTCTTGGAGGGTGATCTGATTGCCTGCCTTAGAAAAGGATGGATGTCAGGATTCTGCCTATTAACACGTGCCCCTGAGACTCGGGAGCAGAGGGGGAGGGCGCCACTGTTTATCCCTTTATGCCTAATGATGTTGTACAGGACAGACATTGAGCTTCAGTATAGTCCTTCCGTTCTAGCCGCTCTCCTTCCGTTCTAGATTAGTGTGGAGGAATAGAAGTGAGTTCTCTGGGGATATGAATATTGATAGGGAATTATGAATAATTAACATGGACATTAACCAATAACAATAAGAACATTAATGAATCATAGTGCTTTGGAGGGGAATTGGTTTGGGATGAAATAAGGACCATGGCATGTCAGCGAGTGGTAGATGCTACAGCCCTTCCTGGAGTTTTCAAACTTTAAGAAGTGCACAGTGGTGTTACAGAAGTTGAGAATGGAAATCCCATCATCTTGCTCAGTTGAGCTGCACACGTGGTTGTCAGTTCTAAAGATCTCTAAGGTGGGGAATTCTAACAGCTTCATTTTTTTTTTTTTTCAGCTGTAGTTGGCATCCTCAAATACTAAAATAATTGGTACTCAGTAATAAAAGCTGTGAGTGCATGTGGTCAAGAGATCGAGATTTTGCTAGAGTGATGAATGGAGTCATGATTCCAGGGAACAGGTAAAGAGGATTTGGACAATTACGCCATGATCCTTCACGGCCTGCACTGCAGGGCTGCTGTGGAGGGGACGTTGGAACGTGAAACAACTACCATGAGACCCTCAAGCCAAACTCTTCCAACTGAATCAATGAGCTAATTCTACGATATCAGCCAGTAGATGTCTCTCTCTGTTATATCCCTTCTGATCATTACCTTGGCCATCAGACAGTTCTGCTACATTACTCGACTGAACTGCCGAGAGAGAATCGACGATATTTAAACGACTCCATTGCTTTTATGAACTGGCTGTGGGAGAGTAGAGTCCATTTCCATTACTGAGATGTGTTGTGTGCCTAACCAAATGCTTTTGGAAGCAGATAATTAGGCGTTGCAGGCTGCGATTGTTTAAAGAAGATATACAATGAAGTTTCAGACTTCAGATGTGGTACTGGGAAATGTCTTGTTACATGAAGATTATGCTTACTTTCAAAAGTGCCCCAGGGGTTATTTTAGCTGGGAGTTTGGAAAGGAGTAAGACTTCCTTTCTGGAGCTCACACTCCAGTAGAAGCAACGGCAGTATTTTAAATTTAAGCAATCCTTGAGAGGCAACCAGTGAGCAGTTCTGAGTAATTCCAGCCACACACACCCTCTGCCCTGGGAAAAAAAAAATCACACTTTCATCATGTCCAAGAAATCAGGGTGTTGCTTTTGAAACCTTAACCTTCTTGTTCTTAAAATACCAGTGCCAACATGCATAGTTTGTATGCGCTGATACAAAGCATATTTGAAATCTGAAAGCATTTAAGAGTTAAATGATACAAGACGAGTATCTGGAATAAATTACTGAAAATGCTGGTGTAAAGGAAACACATTTACTACACCTTTTAAGGCCCCAAAGAGAGCCCTAAAAAGAACAGATTCTTTTCAGATGAAATATATAGATGGCCCATTGATGATAAAGGGGAAATACATAAGGAGGCCTTTTCCAGAACTTCCCAGGTGGTCAGAAGTAACGGTAGGTTGATTATTGACTCAGGTGACACCACCTGAGTGAGATCATGGGCAGTGTCCACTGAGACCCCATCAATACTTCCAAAAGGTTCTAACTCTGGGATGGCCTTATGAGGAAGTGACTATCTATAAGAGATAAATGTGTTGCAATGGGAAGGCTGTTTCCAGCAGACACTTTCCAGGAGCTGATTTCTAGATCTAGGTCAGTCGGCAATCAGCTAGATAGTCAAAGTGTGGACTATGGACCAGCAGCATCAGCAACACCTGGCGCTTGTTGGAAATGCAGACTCTCCAGCTTCTCCCCGGACCAGCTGAGTGAGAGTCTACAGTTTAACAAGATCCCCAGGTGATTACTTTGGACATTAAAGTTTTCAACCTGTTGGGCTTTACGACAAATACTTGGAGGACAGTCATGTCATTTGGTCATTCTTTTATTCGTTTATGTATTTAATGACTATTTATGGACTATCTTCTTTGTGCTAGGCATGAGGCTAAGCTCTGGCGAGATAGTGCTAAATAGAGAAAGACAGGATTCTTGACATCATCATATTTTATTTTTATAGTTATTTAACAAATAGACATATTTATGCTTCTTGCAGACAATCACTATTTGAAGTGCTTCATGTTTATTGAGTCTTTTAATTCTCTAACAACTCTGTGAAGCAGGTAGTATCATTTTTTACATTTTAGAGATAAGGGAATGGAGGCACAGAGAGGTTAAGTAACTTTTCCAAGGCCACACAGCTTGAGGGTGGCAGAGCCAGAATCTGAATCCAGAAAATCTGCCTTCAGAGTCATAACTATTATGTTATGCTGCCAATAAATAAATCAGCTATTCACAACCCATGGTTTTGCTTTAAAGAAAATAAACAGAATGCTGTGACAGTTAAAATTGAGGTGTAACTTCAGCTAGGCTGATCAGGGAAGGTGTTTGTGAGGAGATGATATTTAAACTGAGACCTGTAGGAGAGGAAGGAGCAGTCATTGGATAGGCAGAGCAAATTCTAAGCAGAAGGAACAGCAAGTGCAAAGGACCAGAGGTAGAAAGAATGTGGTCCATTCTGAGAACTGCCTGAGACTCTCATGAGTGGAGCACGTATTGGGTGGGGAAAGAGATTAGAAGTGAGGCTGGGGAGGTGGGGAGGGTAGATCCCACGGGGAGAGAAGCAGAGTAGATGACACAGAGCCTTGGAGGATGGGGACGGAGTTGGGATATTACACCAGGTATCCTGGGAAGCCAATAAGAGTTGAAGCAGGAGAGTGAGGCGATCTGACTGAGATCTGAGAGCTGAGAGGCGAGAGAGAGCGGGGAGCAAGAGAGCAGAAGACTTCAGATCTGAGTGTCCACTTGAGAGAGGGCAGAGGCAATGGGCATGGAGAGAAGAGGGCAGACGGGAAGGCTAATAGAATATGCCACCCCAAATACACCTCTTTGGCATAAAGATTATCTTGAGCTGATTATTTTTGAGAAACAGCAGACACAGGAGAAGTTCTGAAAACCAAGTAGAAGTTATCCTTCTCTAAGGGCAATTTACGTCAACACAGGAAATCTCCATTCACAAGGCTGTCTCCCTCTCTGTACCAGGAAGAGAAGGATGACTCTCAATCACAAGAAACTCTTATGAATGGAGAAGGTGACTGCTTAAACTTGCATGACAACCATACCCTTGTTTACTGTGCTTTTCCTGGTAACCTCCCGTGTCTTTGCCACCACCCCCCCAACCTCAACATCTTTCTTTCTTTTGTCTTTAGCTGAAGATGGTATTTAAGGTGGTGGCTTGGGTCATCTTGGGGAGTTTACTCATTTTTCCTTGATATCTCCCTTCTATACATGTTAAACTTGTTTATTATAATATTTATTATATATACTATAATATATATCATATATAATATTATAATAAACTTTGTCTGTTGGTAATTTTTTTTTGGTGAGGAAGATTCACCCTGAGCTAACATCCATTGCTAATCTGCCTCTTTTTTTACTTGAAGAAGATTAGCCCTGAGCTAACCTCTGTGCCAATCTTCCTCTTCTTTATATGTGGGACTCTTCCACAGCATCGCTGACAAGTGGGGTAGGTCCACACCTAGGATCTGAACCAGTGAACTCAGGCCATCTAAATGATATGAGTTTGGTGGAAGTGCATTGAATTTTAATCACTGGGCCACGTGGCTGGTCCCCTGTTGTTAATCTTTCTTTACAGGGCATTTCAGCAAGAAGTCATAAGGGTAGAGGTAAAATTATTTTTCTTCCCCTGCAGATTCAAGATCTGATTTGGAGGCAGGACCAAGAGAATGATTCCATGGACACGTATGTGTGTGTACAGTTAAAAGGTAAACTGAGGCATATTACAAGTTTTAAGAGTCTGAGCCAAAATCGATTTCAATCAGGCAGCGCCAAACTGGAAGTGTTTAGGAGCGCTCCACTGACAGGATTTCTTGGAGAGGCTTTTTATGGAAGGTGGAAGCAAAGCAAGGAGATCATTGATTCGCTATAGCTTAAAGCCCGGTCGGCTGTTTGTGACTGGTTGTCCTTAGGTTTCCATTTCATAACCTTGGGGCATCTATAGGCTTAGGCTTTGGGTTGCTTATGTTGGCTGCCACAGCGTTAGAACCACCTCATCTAATGGCCTCCTGTTAAGTTAATTTTACGGCACATGTGTGGATGTGTGTCCGTGTCCATGCGTTAGAGTGTGTTTCTCAGGGACAGCGTCAGGAAACAGGAGCAATTGGATTATGCCAGGGTTTCTAATTTGAGCACATTGCGTACATGGTTCTACTATTTACTGTGACAGAAAAAACTGTGGACGATCAGGTTCGGGTGGGTGGGAATCACATACTCTTCTTAAGATATATTCAATTTGAGATGCTTATGGGACTTATAAGTGGAGATGTTAGAAAAGAAACTGTGTCTTTCCAGCATTTAATTCTGGGTCTGGAACAGAGCCAGTACTTACTCAATATTTGTTGAATGGATTTCAAGGAGGAAGACCTCTTCATATGAAAACGTATAAAGCTCCCTAGGTGTTTACTAATGCCTGAAAGTCACTCCAGCAGAGATCAAAGCTTTACTTTTATAGTCGGAAATGACAGTAAACAACAACCACTACAACAAACAAACAAATCACAAATTATGGTGAGATAACACATTCACTTAATTTACACTAAGGTATACATGACAAACACTGGAAGCTTCTTGAAAGCAGATTTCCATAGGTAGACTCTGGCATTGGAAGGGAAGATGGTGCTGATGTGTAAGTGCCTTGCAAGCGAGTTTTATTTAATAGAGTGTCTGCAGTAGCTAGCACAAGTGCTCAGTGAATGCTGTTTTGAGCTAGATGTTTAGGAAGAATTTTGCTCAAGGTCAATGCTGTTGCATTAAAGTGAATTTTGTGACTACAAATTCTTCAGAGAATTTGAACATTGTCTGAAAGTCATTCACTTCCTACAACCACATCATATACACCCCATACTTTCTTGTCTTCTTAGCTTTAGCTATTGAATGACTTCATATATATCAGAGTCACAGGACTACTCATACTACACTGAGCTGTGCCGAAAAAGTACAGGTGTTGTATTTGTAGGCTGGTTCAAAACTTAGTCCTGCGGGGTAAATTATCTCTTTTAGTTATTATTCAGATTCCTCCCTACACCTCTGTCTTCTCTGAAGATGGTGTCAGAGAAAAGGAGAAAGGTCTTCATAGCTTCTAGAAGAAGGCGTCTCCCCATGATTCTCCTTGAGTGAATGCTGACTGGTGTCCATTAAGATCTAGTTTAGCTGGCTGCTTCCTTGGGGCGTTCTGCAGCTGATGAATTTGTGGTATGTTTCATAGCTTGATCCTGTCCAGGGGCCTCTCCCTGTTGACTGGCCTCCTCTCGACTCTCCCTGCTTCTGCAGATCACTCTGAGTCCCTCTTAAGTCCTCCAAAGGGCTCCTGTGCCAGGCCATCTACCACACAGCCTGTGGGCTACCCGAGCCTCCCGCGAGGCTCTGTGGCTCTCTATTCAGAGTCTGACACATGCACGTAGGACTACCTACCTTCCTCTCTCCAAGCCCTTTCTTCTTCAGAGCTCCTAGGGGAAAGAGAGAGTTTTTCCTTGCCATCTTCTCCTTTTTCTCAAAAATGGTCCCTGTCTTCTTTATTTCAATGAAGCTAAAATGGAGAAGGGGTATGAGGCATAAGGAAGCATACATTGGAAAGTATTTCGAAAATATATGGGTTGTACATATTTGGAGTTTGTGAGTGCTGATGAGAGGCCCAAAGTAGTATAAAATAAGGCCGTGGAAAGTCTTGACATATTCTTGATGACAAAGTCCCTGCATCCAGAAGTAAGAAAATTGGCCTCTGGAGGAAAAATATCACATCTCTTCGCTCTTTTATTGCCATGTTGTCTTCATCAGCAAATAAAGGTCTTACTTTTCCAGTAACATAGAGCAGAACAACTAAGAAAATGAAATGGATTCAATTGAGCAAGTACTTACGGAGCCTACTGTGTGTTCTGTACTCTGCTTGGTGCTGTGGAGGAGAAAAAAGATAAAAGGCACATTTACTATCCACAAATAGGCTACAGACTTCTTGGGGAGACACTATCCACACTTATGAAGCAGCTGGCTAATGAGACCAGTTGGGGTAGGATTGTTGGGGCAAATGTGTGGCACAGACCTTGAATGCTAGAAGAAGTGAGGAGTGGGAGACCACTCTGGGCTTGGAGATCTCCAGATACAATGGTTCTTGCAGCAGGTGATGAGGAATGCTGTGCTGCAGACAGTCAGAGAGGTGCGGAAGGGAGGGTGTGAAAGGCAGGAAGGTAGGGGGAGAAGCAATAACTGAGACTTTGAAGTATGACTGAAGAGAACTGCCTGTCCAATATGGTAGCCACTAGCCGTGTGTAATTACTGAGCACTTAAATTGTGGCTAATCCAAATTGGGATATGCTGTAAAGGTAAATACACACCTGGTTTTGAAGTCTTAATATGAAAAAAAAAGTAAAAATTCTCAGTATTTTTTGAATGTTGATCGCATGTTGAAGTGATAATTTGACTATCTTAGATGAAAGCATATTATGAAAATTAATTTTCCTGTTTCTATTTGCTTTTTTAAAAATGTGGCTACTAGAAAGTTGTAAACTACATTTGTGGCTTGCATTGAATTTCTGTTGGACAGAGCTGGGAGAGAGATGTCAGGGAAGAGATTGTATACCTGAAGAAATGGGCCTTGTAGCCCAGTAGGTCCCTGCTTCTCAAGAAGAATGCTTTTTATGCCAAAAAACCAAACAAACAAAACAAAACTTCTACAGGAAAATAATTGCTCATTCAGTACCAAAAGCAACCAAAGATTCAGTAGTATTTCTAAATGAATCCATTTTGTATGAGTTTCATCCAAACTCTAACAGTTTCATATATATATAACATAAGACAGATTTGGGTATGACAGCCTCAGTGTATCAGAATCCGTGGCCCCTTGCACCAACTCCAAGGTCCCCTCAGGGTCTGCAGCTATAACTTTGGAGCTGCATCTGGGTGGTCATGATGGCTCAGTTGGAAAGAGAAAGCTGGCTATGTTGGGTAGAACCTTGGGTGTCAGGTGTAGAAGCTGGCACTTCATGCCCTCTGCAGTAAGGAATCTTAAATACCCACCATCTTCCACTCTTTCCTTGGCTTGTCTAACCAGCGTAGCTTTTGGGGAGCTCTTGTCATGCTGCTGACTTTCACGGTTCCTGCAGCTTGGCTGTTGCTGTAAGTGCCCATGATCTCCAAAGGAGGAAATTGAAGGGACAATTTCCTTTCTAAAAGACAGGGTCGAGCCTCTCTGGGTGTTCTCAAACCTCTTTTAGAATCATTGTGTAGTATCTGGTCAGTGTGCCAATGGAGGACCTTTTGCAGGCTCGGGTGACAGCTAGGGAACTGTTGTTGTCTTGTAGCTAGAGACCCTGCTGCCCTATTGTCTTCTAAGTCTCTAAGTATCTTGAAGTCCTTTTCCCAACTTGTGTTAATGCCTGACTTCTATTTTCAATGCCCATCCCCTTCCTGGAAGATTCGAAGCATCCGACTTACCTGTCAGATAAAAGATAATCATGACCCTTGTCCAAAACCTGCTGCTCTTGAGGCTGTTATCTCAGAAGCACTTCTGCGTGGGGCAGTCCTCATGGTAGCAAAAGATACGCCACTTCAGTGTCATCTGAGGTTGGTGATAATTATAGTCAATAAGGCCCATTCCAGAGGGGTTAAAAGGAGACGTTATAAACTTGGGTGACCTTGCTACTGTTTGGGACACAGAGATTTATTTGCTGGATTCCTGAAGCCTTTCTCAGGAGATTTTGTCCTGTAAGTCTCACTGACAGATTTATCCTGGGCTCCTGTCATCGACGGCTGTTTTCTCACTAAGCAGGTGGAAGGCAAAAGCCGGCGAAGGTAACTGCCAGCTGAGAGGTCGTTTGTGAATCGGCACCACGGAGTAGACATAAATTATACGTATTCTGCAAGCCCTTAGCTATGGCTTCTGCCTTGTCCTAGATTTTTCCTTTGTGACGGCATTTGCCTTGGCGTTAGCTTTATTGTCTGCAGCCATAAATAGAGATTTAGGCCTTGCCGCACGCATAGCATGCATAGGCTATCATAATTCCTCTCACAGGTGGGGTGGGGAGGGGGGAGGTTTTGGTTACACCCTCAAAACAGGCCAGGCAAAATCCCATGATACCAGGCTTCCAGACAGCATTTCTGGGGGCACTTTAATACTGGTAGACAAGCCTGTGGCTCCCCCCTACCCCCCACCACCCATGGCCAAGGAAAGATTCCTGTTTAACTTTGGTTCAATCCAGGTTGCAGAGGTTTTATAGGAAAGGAGTGAAGGGATAAAGGACATACAGAAAGAAACAGTAGAAAAATCATAGCCCTTTAGTCCTAGAGATATTTGAAGATATCAGTTCCAACGATATTTTTAGCCTTTCTTGTGAGATGGAATCCTTTGTTCAAACAAAATTGTTACAGTTAACATTCGTTTAGCTCATACTATAAACCGGGAAGTGAGCTAAATGTTTTATACATATGACCTCATTTAGTCTTTGTAAAAACCCTAGAGGTCAGGAGTGTTATTGTCTTGGTTTTCCAGGCAAGAGCACCAAGGCCCAGAGGTCAACCAACATGCGTGAGGTCGCACAGCTAGGAGGAGGGGAAGCTGGGATAGGAGCCCTGGCAGCTGGTGTCAGAGCTGGTGAGACACAAACTGGACACTGTGGGATGTCCTCCAGAAACCTGCTCTTCACCTCTGTGCCCTACGGCGGGATAAAATAAGCAGAAGATCCAGGGAGCTGCTCTCATGAAGCTGGGGTGGGTTGCCGCCCAGATCTGACCCATTCACCTCTTACCCCCTCACCCCAGGGCCTTCAAGGGGAGTCAGCCACTTCAGATCTACTTGAGTTCCTTCAGGTTCTTGGTTGAAGCTGAGAAGCTGTGTTGGAAGGGTGCTGGGCCTTGCCCAGGGTCACATAGCCCATTAGTATCAGAGCCTGGCCATCTTGACTCCCCGGCCACTGCCAACCAGAACCCCCGAACAGCAATACCAAGACACCTGACTGCACTGGAAATCCTGTTGTACCAATTTCTCAGAACTAAGAAGTGACTGAGCAGGCCATGCCCAAAGAATAACTAGAATGTTCTACAGATACACAAAATTTTGGTACAACCAGGAAATGGCACCAACCCTTCCAATTCCCTGCCAACAGCAGATGCTGCCATTGTTTAAGCCAAAGCTGGATCTCCCAGAATGATGCCCACAAATGCCTGAGGCTCCATTCATAGAATTTCTCATACAGGCTCAGTTGTTACCAAGGCAGTGCCCTTCCGGGTCGAACATAACATCTTCTCCCTGCCCTGCTGACGCTTTCACGTCTGCTTTCTTTTGCTCTGGTGTGTGAAGAGCCCTCCTAGGAGAGCGACTCCATACTTTTTAGAAAGGGAATTCACTTTGGCATGCCCTCCTCCTCTTCCTTGGCTTCCTGTTCTCAAAGAAAGGGACTTGAGAGTTTTTAATTCAGACTCCCCGAGAGGACTTAAATCTGCCCTGAGGTTAAAAAGGTGCAGGCTGTCATACTGAAAGTCGCTTTATTTCCTTAATCAGCAGCCCACTGTGCATGCCCAAAGGGTTCATGCCCAAGCAAATCTTCCCTGGAGGGAGGGAGGTGGCAGGGCCCATTAGGATACAGAGATGGAGGCAACAACAGGAAAGTTACCTGGGGAGATGGTTGATTCTCTTTAGTAGCTCCATGCTCTGTTCCCAAATATGGATGCTGTCTTCCCTAAGCTTGGATCTGAGGATATGGAAGTAAAGACTAAATGGTTTTACATCTTTGAAAGGAAGAATTATTTTTCCAAAACTTCTTTCTTGCAACCAGATCTGGTTTCATGGGCAGGGGATCTGTGCGGTTGTATGGGGCCTCAAGCTCAGAAGGGCTCCTCACTTGGTTTAATGCTCTGCTGTTGCCATCTTGAAATTTTTAATAATTTTTGAACACGGCGACTGGCATTTTCATTTTGCACCAGGCCCTGCAAACCACGTAGCCCACTCAGCCTGCAGCCCAGTTTGGGATATGCGTGCTGGTGTTGAGGGTGGGAGGGAAAGTTATGTTTGTTAGAGTTATGACTTACCTAGGTTTGCTGTCTTTTTTATAAACCTGTTCTGGCATAAGAATATAGTTTTAATTCAGAATAAAAAAACAACCTGTACAATATGAGAAGCATGTCGTTATACTGAACTTGGTATTTCACCGTTATGAGTTAAAAGACTAGTTGGTTCTCAGTGCCTTGTGCTATTTTTGGCTTTTAGATCCTGAGACTCCAGTGTATGACCTTTTCCAAGCTTTGCTTGCCTGGCTGGCAGTCAGGTTACTATGGGTCAGGGCCTGGAGGCTTCATCGGCTGTTTTCCCCTGGGGGACAGAATGAGACCTCATAATGAAGTAAGGAGTTTAAGTATTGTTTATCATCCTTCTAGTTGATAATATTTAAAATAAATCATCAAATTACTTCTAGAAATTTCAGGTCATTACATTCAAAAGACCCAGTGTTATTTTTCAAGGTAAATGTTGAACAATGCAGACATCATAACAAATTAGTTTACTCATTTAATCTTTAGTAAAGTCATAATAAAATATATATTGAGTATTTGAAAGAAGACATTAAAAAGTAAATGTTTCATAATATAGTTATAATTATTAGCAAGATTATCAACATCAGGTTTAAGATATTATAATGAAGAAAAATCATAAAGTAAGAGAAGAATGTAAGTAGCTAAGTTAAAAAAAAAGATAATGTAATTCTTAATCCTATTTGTCAAGGAATGTCAAAAACCAGAAGTCTACTTTATTCTATAATTTAAAGTGAGACAGGGGGCAGTTAGGCCCTGTCATCTGGTTCCGGAGCTCTCGTTGTTTGTAAATATATATGGAGCACTGTGCGTGGCTGGGGAGTTTTGACCTGTCATCTGCTCCCAGGCTTCTCAGAGAAGCAGATCAGAATACTGACCCTGATTTTGAAAGACTGTGCAATGTGTTGGTGGTCTTTATGGTTTCTTCAACACAGACATTGAAAACTCAACTATCTGCAAGGGCCAAGAAGGCTACCAAAATAGATGTGTGCCTGGTGGGGACTGGGATGCCCTGGAGAGCCAGGTCCAATCTCAAGTGGGCAGCCCTACTCAGCAACTGATGGTAGCTGACTGGAGGCAATGTTGTTGTCAGGAGGTCTGATTTTTCAAAAAGAGTAGGTCATCTTCTCTGGGAGATTTGCAGTGTTGGCTAGGGAATCAAAAATTTAAAAAGTCCTTTGTCCAAAGAGCAAACAAGCATCTATGGGTGGATGATTGCTCATCTCTAGCCAGTACCCTGTGTCCTTGTGTGGACTGGGGCATGGATAAGGGCAGAGGGGAGGGAAGACATCGTGGGGGCATGATTTTCAGACTCAATTTATTTTCATAAACTAGAGTAAATGGCTCCCTTTTTCATTAGGTTATGGGGTGACCCTTTCTCTCGTTCTAATTTAGTTGACACTGGTCCCACCTAGTTCCTTCTTCATGGATGCCATTTACCAAAATGCAAAATAGGAGTGAAAACCTCTTGATCTGTACTTCACACTGAAGATTATAAAATAAATGAGTAGGTACAGCATTTCCGACTGAGAAGTGTGCAATGAACATGACCACATGGAGAAGAGGGAAAAACATAACTCTTTGGCTATTATCTGACTTAGTCGACATGAAAGCTTTGCATACCATTCTGACGTATTTTATCGACTGGGGGCATATTTGAATGGGAAACGATCAAAGTGACCACACCATTTCTCACTTTCAACCCAGAAATTTTGTGAAATCAAATAATTGACTTAGGATTTATGGACTATTTTCCTTACTGGTAAGCGAAGAATGTTTGATCAAGTTCGTAAATAAAACATCTTTTAAGGCTGTTATTTATCTGTACGTGGAATTATAATCACTCGTGTAAAATTTATATTTTTAGATACTAAATTTTATGGTGTCAAATAACTATAATATTAGAATAGCCTGTGTCTTCCACTAGCAAATTTCATTATTTCTCATCCATATTTTTGAAAGGGAACCTCAGTTGGTTTATTTTGATGGAAATGTATGGCGTGTGTGTGTTTGTGTGGAGTGCACGTGTGTGTGTTTATGGTGTGATGTGTGTATGTGGTGGGTGGTGTGTGTGTGTGTGCGCCTTTCCAAGGAGTTGCTTTTGATGTTTACAGGCTCAGTGCTATGGCCCGAGTTCACTACAAGACACTCACCTTCAGAGATGCTAAGTTCTTGCTATGATACCTCAATTTCTCTCTTTCTGCGTGCTTGCTGTTTTGGTTTTATGCCATAGCTCCTCTTCTCTCTCACCAGCTTAGTTCCTTGTCTCCTAGGACTCTCTTGAAAGCCAAGTGTAAATCTCCTCATGATTTGCTTCTTTCTCTAGTTTTACCCTTTCAAACTTCCATTCTGAGCCCTTAAAGGCCTTCTTCCCATCATATTTCTCTTTTTTCCTTCCCCTGGCTGCTTCTTACTTAACCCTATACCTCAAATCCTTTCTTCATTTCCTACAGTTTAGTTTACTCTTCTGTCTTCCAACCCTACCTTATTACATGATTTCTCAAACTCTTAGATCTTTTTCTTGTTTCCAACCCATTTTTCTTCCCCATTCAGACCA